TGGGCCAATACACCTTTGATCTTCTCCTATTAGTAAGATGAACAAAATATGCAAAAACACACATCCATGGTAAAGTGATAAAACTCTCATCAAGAGACTTTACTACCAATGTAGCATATATCTTTGAATCTTCCCTAATTAGATGCTCATGAGAATCAAATGCATTAAATGGAAATATAAAGTCAACTTCAGGTGTAAACGAGTTCATCATAAAATAGTCAACTTCATCCCCATCAATTATGTAAAACACAACATTCTCATTCCTAGAATCTAACTTAACCTCAGGATCATCTACCCCATTCAAGAGCTCTTCTACATCAAGCACATCTCCTAGGCAAGAATTTCTGGAGACAAAAAACAAATTTGAAATCAACAAAGAAAGAAATTAGTAATTTACGTATATTGAAACAAAGTTAGTAATCTTTTTTATTGGCTAACAAGTTACAAGCAGCGTGATCTAACATAATTTTGATTACCAATTTTCAGAAAAGGAAAATCAGCCCAACGATCAAGTATTTCAACGGTCAAGTATCTTGAAAGAACCTGCAGCTAAACACAAGCCAGACGCTTCATTTGTCGCAGAGGCCAAAGACAGTGTGAAGAAATTGACATCAGGAGTCACAAGTACTGACCCGGCGCTCAAGAAACAAGAGTAAGAGTTTAACCACATCCCCTTTTTTAAAACAAGGAACAGCGTCGAGGTTGCGTCAGATGGAGTAGAGCTTCAGGTTCTTGCAATGTATAGTGTGATACAGAGGGAGTGTCACGCCTAACTTCCTAAACGAACCTAACTTGTCAAAGACGGCAATTAATCCATTTAATACTAACTCCTCGGTTTAAATAAATAATACTCCTAAAAAATCCAACAATTTATTACTTAAAATCCATGTCTAAATTTCACTAGCATAACCGTTGAAACAAAAATACCAAAATAAGCAATAAATCATTCGGAAAATAATTAAAACTGTTTTAAACAACAACCAAAATAAATGGATTAAAATAAGTAGTCCATCCCCAAAACCATCACCAGAACAATCCTCGCCTTGAACCGCTACCTTTCAAGCCTTATGACCTGGAAAGGAGAAAAAAGAGGGGTGAGCAACTAAGTTACACAGTGAGGAATGGTCATGTCTGCCCACATGACTTCCAACACTACAAACCAACCTGCATGCGAAAATACTAACTCTAGAACAAGCAGCAAACAACGAACAATCATTTTGTGCACATCCATAATATCAACAACACATATCACATACTAACACATATTAACACATTTCATAAATTCGACACGAAGTCCATGACAACTTGGGCTGGCNGTCACCTCGAAAGGTCGTACGCCACCTTTGGCTCGTCAGCCGGTTTACGGGCTTTAGCGGGATCGCCATGTCCTCGCCCTCAGTCCGA